AACAAATCCATGTAGTGTAATTTGTTTCATGGACAAGCAATGACCATATCTGCTGCTGTTTCATCTCTGTGTAAGATCAGGGGAATTCCCAGAGTTTGTGTTAAGAAAATAACTAAAATGAACTAATATTTGTAAAAGCACATGGTTTAACATCATGTACAAAAAAAAAAAAGCTCTGTTATCGTGCAGCCATGACATCGGAGTGGTTTATTTTCAGTTCTGTTCTTAAAAATAAAACGTGACTCATTCACAGCTCATTGAAATTTGAATTATCTCAAAGTTTGAACGAACTTGATCAATTATTTCTTTTTGATCTAGTTTATTTCCTCCAATCTTTTAAAGTCCTGATTAAAAAAAAAAAAAAATGCTACGAAAAAAGAACAAAAAAAAAAAGTTGTCTGTTGAAGCTGCTAAAATAATGATTTAAAAAATAATCTGTTTTAAAACTTTATTTTTTTAAAGATTTTTTTTTCCAACTTATTATTTCTCTAAAACTAATGGGAGGCTGTTGGGAGTAAATCACACATCTGGTACTAAGATAAATGTGCTTTTTATTCTTTTAAACATTTGTTTTTACCATTTTCCAATCAGTTACCACATAGTTTCAATTGTTCAATTAAAAACGTTTCCCCTCACTTTGCTTTAAATGCATTCATGTTCGTGTTTGTGTCTGCAAGAAAAATCATAAAAAAAGGCAAAACTACTAATAAATATATGCTGCAAATGACCAAGTCAGCACATCTACTGAAACGCTTGGATGATTTACAGCGCCGGCGTTTGAACTCTGACTCACCTTAATTTTTCACGCAGCATTTCTGAATTTACGACGAGTCGTACAATAGATGGGAGTAAACACGAGCGCAGCCGCTTTGTGAGCTGCGGTGATCCTCTGCGCAGGGTGTTCGGCCTTTGTGCACATAAATGGTCATGACATTTTAAAGCTGGAGAAGCTCGCCGAGTCATAAAAGGATGTTAAATCACTGGAAGAGGAACCCTCTGCTCGCTGCAGCTGTGAGCATGAACAGTTTGTTTACATGCTGTAGCTGGGTGTCTCTGCGTCGTGGCCACGGCACAGAACGTGTGCGAGGATTGATGAGCAGGAGAGTTGATTTATTCAACGTGCACACCACTACCTGTTGAAAGATGATGAAAAAGAGAAACCAGGTCTCTGCTCAGGATGATGGGCCTGTGTTTTATTTCTAAAAGGCCCACATCCATGTAGACACTAGAATTACCGTATTTTTCGGACTATAAGGCGCACTTAAAATCCTTGAATTTTCTCACAAATCAACAGTGAGCCTTATGTATTGATTCTGGTTGTGCTTAATGACCTCCAACCAATTTTATGTGATACATGGCGCTCAAAAATCTGTCAAATTAACTTATTTCGCTTAATGCGCCTTATAATCCAAAAAATAAGGCAATGGTCTAGCTTACGTGGAATAAATGCGTATTGCCTGCTGCCTTTCATGCCCAAGTTTGTGGTCAAGAACTTATATTATGGAATGACATTGATGAGCCCAAAGTATGTTGCGATTGACACTCAGCTGTGAACACATCAAATTTTAGCTTAATATCTATTGCAGCCAGTTTTGTGTAGCCCCTAATGTTGATTAACTGGTCTGACTCTGAACGTTAATCAGTTATAGATGTACATCCAGTTCAATCCATTTCAGTTTATATATGGTATATAGCACCAAGTCACGACTTGTCTGAGTTTAAAATCAGAAAATTTAGGGTCATCCAGATTTTATGTCTTTAAGTCTGATTGGATTCATTGGGTTTCATAGACAAATACAACTGTGTATCATCAGCATAACAATGAAAAGTTATCCCATGCTGTTTAATCACTTTACCTAATGGACATATAAGGTAAAGAGTATTGGTCCAAGCACTAAACCTTGAGGAACTCCATGACTAAATTTAGAGTACGAAGAAGAGTAAATATTTACATTTTCAAACTGGAATCCATCAGATCAATATGATTTAAATAATTTTAGAGCCGTTCCTGTAATCCCAATGTCATATTCAAGTCTCTGTAGTAGAATATTGTGATCAACTGGATCAAATGCAGCACTGAGGTCTAACCGGACCAGTGTATGAGTGGATGCATTTTGAAAGTTTCATTCAAATCCATTCAGTGATACACGAGATATTTCGCTAACTGCCTTCTAACAATAAATGTTGTCCGCTAATTTCCATGCAGTAAAAACAATGAGCCCAAATAAAATATAATTATAAATTATCACTTAAATCATTATAGTGTGGAGGATTTGTATGAATTTACTTAATTAGAATAAATTCCAGATGAATAAATCCTAATTACTAGGTTGTAGTTCGTATGCGGAAACAAGTACTTGAATGCATCGTTAAAAAAAACCTCTAAATTCAAACAAAGCAGTGAAAGCACCATGCAGGTTCCTGCAGGTACAAGGGGGCAGAAGATGGATGGAAGCTGAGGGGGTGTTTGTCCGTTTCATGGCCGTCAAAGCGCATTAAATCCCTGCTTCTGCCTCTGCATTATTCACACAGACCCTGCTCTGACATGTCTGCGAGGATATTTTGGGATCTCACCCGTTTTCCAAGCCATTCAGCTGCGGCGGCGCCAATTGTGGAGGGAATACAACGCCGGCACAGAGAAGTGCGCATGTGCGAGAACAACCAAGGAAGTTTGTGCTCTAAGCGGCGACAGCGGGCAACAGACACGGCGGGAGGGGTTTAATTCACTACAGTGACAAAGACATGACCGCCCGCTGGGGTTGTACGGACATCCACACCCTGACTAACACCGAGTCCATGCGTCAAAGGAGGGAGACCCAGAGAGGAAGTCGAGCTTTTTCTGCTTTCAAAATAAAAGCACAAAGAGCGGCGCTCTTGGTTTCATTTAATGGAGTTTTTAAATTATATTTTTATTTATTTATTTATTTTTTCCAAATGTTTTAATCTATCCAAGTATTGTTACTAGTGGTAGCAATTTATTTTAACATAAACAAGAAAAGAGCCTTAAGTTGAGTTTTATTCAAGTTTTACATGCTTAAAAAACCTTGGTTTATTGAAGTGCTTCTGGTGTTCCAGTAAATATATATTTTTTATTATATTAACTGTGCAATATGAAACTCACAAGAGTGTGAAGGTAAAAAAAAGTCTTTCTATGAAGTTCTTTTTAAATAGAAGATGTTTAAAATAGCTACAATGCTCTATGATGTCCTCACTCAGACTTAATCCGTTTGTTTCCAGTTATTTCCACAAGTGAGGTCGTTTAATGAAAAAATCCCAACTCTTTAATGAAACCAGGATAATTAATTAAAACATTTAATTTCCCTTAAGGAATAAAAAAGTATTTTTGAATTTAATTAAATATCTGTCTACAAGCAAGATATTATTTACAACCTTTGCACAGAATGTAAAAAAGTTAAATCTGGTCCTCTGGGATTTTTTGAATGTCCAGAGGACCAGATTTAACTTTTTTAGATTTTTCTACCTGGATTATTGAGCATGCATCAGGATATTTGCACAGAATGCCTCTTCAAAACTCACAAACTATCCTTTTAAGTGCTTGAATTTAAATTGCTGAGTTATTTGGGACAATTTTTAAGCTTAATTCCTGAAAGTGCTACTAAATTACATGAAACACAATGTAAGAGTTCTGTGTGACTGATATTACTCTGATAATACCAACTACTGACAACTATTTCACAAAACATTTCTAAAAATAATAATAAAAAAAGAGCTGGAGATCCATTTAAGCATTTATGTTAATGTTTTATAGTATTATTGAAATGCAATGTGAGTGGCATGTGACAACATATAATTATTTTGAAGAAAAAAAAGTTTATTCAAACAAACCTTTTTTTTTTAGTATTCTACACGTAATCTAGCTGTTTTTTGCTATGTTTCCTTTTAATTCCTAGTTATTTTGTTTTCAATTGTAAAAAAAAAAAGGAACTTTATTGATCCCGCAGGAAATTGTTGTGCCAGAGTTTCAGTACAAAGGAATACTGTATACACAAGTAATCACACATGATATATATATATATATATATATATATATATATATATATATATATATAAATAAAGTATAAAAAATACCAGCAATAAGATCTAAACAGGCCAGTAAAATACTAGTAGTCATAGCAGAAGTCAAGAACAATTTGGGACCAAAACAGCTGTATTTGTTGCGCTGAGCCAAAAGATTCAGATCCTAGAACAGAGATGAAATTCCCACCACCAATGCTCATAACAGAAACAAAGCTTTTATTTTGAAAAGGGTTAATCGGAAGTGGCGAGTGTAATCTTGACAGCCGTGTCTCGGCTGACCCTGGTGAGCGCGCGACCAGTGCGGTTGTTCGCGGGCGACAGGAGGCGAGCGGAGCCGGAGAGGGAGAGCGTTTTGTGGAGGCAGACGGAGCTTCACCTCCCGCGTGTTGAGACCCGACGCCCGGACAAAGAAGAAGGAGCTGAAGTTTCTCAGCCGGGCAGCTTTGCTTCTCACTTCCAGCCCGGTTTGTCTCGCGCTCATCAGCGGACACGCACCGGGAGTTAATTAGCGAGCTGCGCTGAGGAGGAGGAGGGTGGGGGGAGCGGTGCTGCAGCATCAGGAGGAACACCTCGAGCAGCAGCAGCCTGCAGGCACGGGGAACCTTTCCGATGCGCGCGCTCAGCCCACACTGAGAGGCACAGACGAGGTGTTTATGGGAGATTTGTTGGGTTTGCTTCGCCCCGTCGTTTCAAACTTGGCGTGTCCGGGATGGGGAAGGAGCAGGAGCTGCTGGAAGCCGCCCGCACTGGGAATGTCGCCTTGGTGGAGAAACTGTTGAGTGGAAAGAAGGGGATTCTGGGCTCAGGTTCCGGACCCATCCCTCTTCCCAGCCTCCTGAGGTAAGCAGCATCCTCCTTCTTCTTCAGTTTGCTTTTCTGTGGGTGTCCCCAGGGGGTGTTGGAGGGGATTCCTGAGGGCTTTCCCGTTGCAAAACCAGTATAGCCCAACACTTTTGTGTCTGGGCTGCAAAGCATTTACTCACTAGAACAGCCTGTACAGCACGAGTGCACAATAATCCCCTGAAGCATCTCATAGACAATGGATGGTTCCAGGTTTATTCAAGGAGCAGGATGCAAACACAACCAGGTCTAAATCATGAAACTGCAATAAAAAAAATTAATGCACACACCTCCCCTGTACTGGTGCACAGTACTGGAGACAATGGTTGTGGCAGCTTTCATAGCAGTGACTCAGATATTGGCAGCGTTTGTAACTTTCTGTTCAGTTTACTCTTGGCATTTGTAGGTTGCTCCATCGATCATGAGGTGCTTGCACAGCCTTGATGCCTGTGAGGTCTGACAGACAGGCAGGGCGATGGAGGCACACTTTTTTGTGCCAGAAGACAAAAAAATAAATAAATAATCCCATGCTGATTTGGCTCAGACTGGCAGACTCTGGACCGTTGCAACATCACGTTGTAAAACTGTGGAAATGTGGTTGAGTTTTGTCAACAGGTTGAAAATTCAGTTGATGTTCGCCGACGTAGCAGATCGACACGATAAGTTCCTGAAGACGTTCCGATTGTGCCAAAGCAGCTGCCGCCCCGAAACGTCAAAACTAAAGATCAGAAGATATGTTAAAGCTGCCACCGGTGGCTCCTTATGGTCACCATGGTAACCGCATACCTGTGTGTCACTCCTTGACTAGGCCTGTCAGGATAACAAATTTTGCTGGGCGATTAATTGTCTCAGAAATTATTGCGATAAACGATAATATTGTATGAAATTTGACCAGAATTAGTCTTTAGTGTAATATTTAAGAAGAAACGTTTAATTTGTTTTCCATGTAGTAGATTTTTTGACCACCGGATGGCAATCTAAGACTGAACTGAAGGATGGATAGTGAGGGTGCGAGCAGCGTGCCTCTTTAAGAAAAATGGGAGGGAGGCCCTTTGACGTGGCATGGGCTGTCTCTCTTTTTTTTTCGGTCCTCAAAATGGCGGACGCTCGGTGTGGTTTGAGCTCTTTAGCATAGCATTTGTCTCACAAAACTTTTAATAAAAAATCAGTAAACAAGTTCTCAGCTTCTTTTTGCAGAGGAAAAAAACGCTTTTTACACGAAGGCAGGGATTTGTTTCAACTGTGAATTTTGGAGCTTTGACAAGACGGAGGTTTTTTTTCACCCGAGGTCGGCCTGTTAGCTTAGCTCGTAGCTTAGCTTCTCAGCTTAGCTGCTTTTAACGGTCCAAAAACGTGATTTTGGATGGTTAAATGGATTTAAAAGAGAAAGGCAGGGGTCAGTGAAGAGCACCGGGGTTGAGTTTGTCATCCAGTGTCTTCAGTGGAAAGAGGAACACGAAGAAACGATAACAATAAATGAAAATGAGGTCGATAATTTTCATTTATGATGAGATTAATTTATTTTATTGTTTATCGCGACAGGCCTATCCCTGACTGGCACGTTAATGAGAGGCAGACTGCAAAGTAAGCCTCAAACTGTCGCTGTGTGAAAACTACAAGTCAGATCTTAAATTTGTTTTTTTAAATCGTGAGGGTCACGCATGAATTTTATGTTTCTGCAGCAACGCATTGAGCTCTTTCATTTATTTTTCAAATTTTGTCCATGTTTTGCGACACACTACTACCTGAAGTGAGAGCTCACCACCACTGATCGAGCTGCATGTTTTATTACAAAGCTTTTTTTTTTTTTTTTTTTTTTTACAAAATAAGAAGGGTGCACTTAATAAACCTGATATTCTTCTTAAAAGAACATTAAATCCTACTGCTGTATTAAAGTGACTATAACCTTTAAAGAACCCATAAATAGGCCTCACACGGCGGTTATGAGGTTATGATTGTCCTCCTCCTGCCCCTGCAGCCTCTCCCACTCCCAGCTCAGGATGGTGCAGAGCCAGGTGATTAGAAGATCAAAGCAGGGGCATCTGGGAGGGGTCCCGCCTCGCCTCGGGGTCTGGACCAGAGCGTCTCCAGACTGGCCTGAAGTCTAACAGGGAAAACACTAACCATTCTTTGAACTCCTGTTAGCCAGATACAAAATGGGAACTTTGGTGAAGATTGATTAAAGATCCCAGAATAAAAGCATTAAATAGTGTTTGAACCACAAAGATCCAAGACGATGCTGAAATTCTACCTTTTGCAACAACACTGAAACAAAGGTATTTAGGTTGATGATTTCTGCTTTTCTTGTTGTTTGGAAATTCACGACGTGTTGCAGTTGTTCACTTGTGGTTTGACATTTTCTAATCGTGTCACGTTGCCATGTATTTCTCTTTTATTTTAATGTTCCCTTTGAGATCATACAGTTGATGTCAACAGAATTTGTTGGTTTGTGGGAAGGGAAACGCCAAAGCATCCAATCTGCTGGTACGTTGTTTCCTGTATGGCCTTCACTATTAACAGTAAATAGCTGTTTTTCATGGTAAGATGCTCATCGTGTGCACAGCTCAGTACGTAGGCTGTAAACATCCCTTAGTTGGTTTTTATTCAGCTTCCAAGGAGCCAGACTTGCTGGTAACCTTCATAAGTGGACTTGATCAATAGTTCTTCATACTTTCTGAAGATTTTTTGAAATATTAGTCTTTGGACTTTGTTTGCTTTGCCCTGACAGTGTATGCTTAAAGAATAGGAAAACGGACAAGTGGAGGACAAAAGAATCAGCATTAGGTCTAAACGGTTTTTAATTACCAGACAAACTGTATCTTAAGAAACAGTAAAACAATTGTACAGGAATGGTACATCTTTAGCACCTTTCTATAGCAACCAGGATACTCAAAGGCAATGTGTTCAACATTATGGTATTTTTTGCAGCTAGTTAACGTCAACACTGGTGTACCACAAGGCTCAGACTTGGGACCCACCTTTTTCACAATCTACATAAGTACCGTAATGTTGGTCAGATCATTCCTTATGCATCCTCACATTTCTATGCCGACGACACAGTTGTTTATTGTTGAGCTAAAACAGCTGCTAAGCTTTTCCAGCTTTTACATTCCGCACATGACACCTGCGAGATTCATCCTTCTTCATTATGCCAATGGCGCTAAAAGACAATTTAATGTCTTTCAAAAGTGTTGTTTTGGGTATTTCTCGTAGATTCAGGTAAAGAAATGGGAATAAATTGTGTGGCAGGCTGCTTGTAACAAAGTGCCTAAAAACCCAGTTTAAATATATTGCCAAGCTGTCTGCTGTGTCGACACAACGCCTGTTCATCCATTTAGTTTGGAAGCAATGTTTATGGCTGAATGATTCACTTGTCAGAACGAAGTGACTTCAACAAACACACATTCTTCTGAAAATGCTCAAACACTGGACCAAGTAAAAAAACAAACCAACTTTGAAATAACTTTAAAAAGCCTTGAACCACTTCTAAAATATAAAAAGAAAGTCTGACTGATTTGAAGGAAAATATAAATAAATAAATGACTTTTGCACAATACTGTACATAAGTGAGATTTTTGTAAAACAAAATTTAGTTCAAGCATTTACTCTATTACATCACTGACTCAGTGACTTTAATTTTAGCACCATCATGATAAAAATCAGTATTTACTCACAAAACAGTTGATCTTAGTTCTTTTTAGTGTCTGAAAGTTAACTCCATTATAGCATGGCTTTATCACGATACCGTTCCATCGTTAGCATTTAGCTAAAAGCAGAGTTGTGCCATTGTACAGTCTTAGCTGCTATCATGCCTTTCTAAATGAGCCTCACTTTTACACCCTGAAGAAAAGATGGAGGCAGCCTCAATGATTTCATGCATCGATCTGTAAACTGCTCCACTTTCAAGCCTCAGCCTGAGCACTAAGCAGCCGCTGTCCTGTGGTAACTCATCTGTCGACTCAAACCGTAATGGACTTAAAGATATAGGAATTTAAGTCATAAAATGAAACAAAAGTTTGATTTAAAGCCCAAAATTATTCCTCATGTTTTGTTTTTCTTGATCAGGAGCCTGATGACTCTGTCAGGGTTGCGCTTGCCTCTGATTTTAAAGTGATTTCTTTTATGTGTTTTGGTCTGTTAAAATATTTTTCATAAAAATTTCAAGAGTCTGTGCAGACATGATATTGGTTCAAGTTCTGTCTGAGTGTAGCGCAGTGCTTTAGTTTTTATCAACTGCGTTCATAATCTTTTTTGTGAGCTTGAAGGCACATTAGTAACCCTGGAGAGAGCTGCTTCATGTTTAAATAGACCTTGGTAATTTATGTGATGATCTCGGACACTTTTTTTGTTGGCCTTTCTCTCAACAGGATGATGATTTTATTTATCAGTTGTCATGGCGATTGTTACTTGGTGTTTGTGTATATCCAAAGTAAAGTCAAAACCTAGTACTTTAAGTTTGCATTTAGACTCTGTTGTTACTCTATATAGCAATTTTTCTATAAAACCATTGGTTTCTATGATGATTTCTCTTGAAATACTCCAACTTATATATGACTCATGGCTCTGTATCAGTTTTTAGAGTTAAATCAGTTGAATGAAACTACAAAACACTCAACTATTGTGCAACTCAGACAAGATAGATTTAATCAAGTGCAGAGCATAAACAAAGCATGTTGGACCCAGAATATGAGGTCAGTCAGATGTGTCATGGTTGGAAATCTATCTGCTGCTGTTTAGTGTCGGTAACTGTTACATCCTTGGTTTTTATTGGGTCATGGCGCTCATGCAAGCCTGCAAACCCACTAAGTGGACTACACACACATCTGTGTGTGTGTGCTAATGTGACCAGCAGTGTGACACACCTAATAGAGGGCTGTTTGTACTTCAGCAGTGGAGTGGGTCAACAGAGGGGTCAGAGCATGGCGTGTGTGCTGCTATAAGAACGATCTCTGGGAATCAGAGCCGAGAGTTTCCCATCTGAAGGCCTCTGAACGTTGCAT